ATTTCCTTTATGTACTCAGTTTCTTTCTTCAACACGTTTCCTTTCCATTTTAGAAATTTTTGGATTTAATTAAGGGATTTCCACATATTCTAAAAAACACTAAATGCATTTAGAAAGTACAGAAAAAGTGGCTAATTTTATTTCTTTAGTAATAAGAACATTCAGAAGCAATATGAAATATATATAGTAAAGGACGGTTACAGAGCTGATGTGGCAGAATTTCTAGAATTTAGTAACACACCGAACAACAAAATCTAGAAATGGCAAAACTTTTAGAATTTAAAGCAAGCATTGGAAGCAGAATTTAGAAAGGCAGTAGGCAGCAGAATTTAGGATCCACAGAGATTGCATCAGGTGGGAAAATGCCTATTGCCAGCTATGTGTATGATGCATTAAAAAATATTAGATGAATCTTTTAAACTGTAAGTTTTCAATTTCTTTATTAATAAAAAAATCCCTTTCTGTAATGCCTGCCCATGTGATAAGATCAGAAGCATTTTTGATATTTTCCATGCTTCTGTCTAATGAAAAGTAGAGAAAATAAAGAGAAGATAAACATGTTAAGATTCTAGTATCAGAAGTAATACATTATGTTTTCATCGTTTTTCCAGATGTTCTCCCAAAATTAAGAAATTCATTGCAAACTTTCTGTAAAATACATCAACTACGTGTTGATACCATGGAGACATTTTTCATTTTGTCACATATTTCTCAAATCTTCTAGAATCTAGGTCTATAATTCTTGCCTTCAAATCCTTCTAAACTTTCCAAGCTGCAGTGTCTAAAATCCTAAAGAAAAATTATCCCTACCATTTCTGTAACAGAAAAAAAGCAAGAAATATTTTGGAAAAAGTAGGAGGGAAAAAGTATAAAATTAATTTTATAGAGAAAACTGGTGCACATTCTGAGAACTTTTTAATATTCTGAGACAATTACATGGGAAAAACTCTTACTATGAAACAATTAAAAACAAGACATTTTTAATTAATTACACAGTTAATTTTGCTTTTGCTAAGAGCTGTTTCGTAAATTCTGCTTTATAGCATTATACCTTGTTTATTTTTCATAAGAATAAATTGAATTTAATTTAATTAAATTTTAAATACAAATTTAATTAAATATTCTTCGCACCATTGCTGCAAGGAATGAAATTTAAATTTGTTTTAAATTTGTTTATTTTTCAGATTTAAAATATTGTACAAGTTGCCAAAATGAAACTTTATAATATGACAGCGAAAAATAAAAATGTTTTATTTTAATGTTATTTTTTAAGTATAATTTCAATATATTACCATTATTTTAATAAAATTTATCAATGTTATGATGTTTTAAAAAAAAATCGTCGAAAAATTCTCAGATTTTGGAATTAAAAAGTTTCTATAGAAACTAATCTAAAATTGCCAAAATGTTGAAAAGTCGCCAAATTTAGAACCGTTTAATAAAAGAATTCACATCCCAAAAGCAAAGTTGTTTAAGAGCTCTTTACTAGAAAAAATGAATTTCGAAATGCTTATGTTTCACTTCTTGCTTAGAAATTCGAGTATCCCATCATTCATATTAGAAATAGAAACAAATTACAACTCATGAACCCATTCAAAAGATTACCATATATACGGCAGTGAATCGCCAAAAATATTCTTCAAGATGCTAATTCACACTCAAAATGACATTTGTAAAAACAGACAGAAATTTTAGATGATTAAAATTAAGGACCTGCTGTTGATTTTGACCAAAATTAAGGACTTTTAAAGACCAAAAATCGATTTAAAAAAATCTAAGGACTTTTAAAGACTCTTAAGGACCATACGAACCTTGCATAATTGACTGGTACTGAAGGTATACTTAGTAGCCATTATTAAGTGTCCTGTTTGTAGGAAGGATATGCGTATGGTCGAACGTCCGACTATAACGGTGCTACAAAGGATATTTTTTACTCTTATTTTGTGAATTTATATGGCAACAGCAGCATACACATTCTAGTTTAGATAATTTTAGGAAGGTTTTGGATGCTGTTAAGGAATTGTGTTCAACTGAAGACATGTTAATTCGTAAATAAGGTAAATGGATATTTCCTTTGTGTAGTGCAAAGATGAATTTATTTTTTTAAGTTATTTCATTGTTTGATTTAAAATGTAGTTTATTGAGATTATATATTTTTTGTTGGCTGCTACTTTGACTTTTTAAGTGAACACATGTGTACATCGACAATGGGAGTGCGCAATGCCAAGTTCATGCAATTCTCTGATTTTTTTTTTTTTTTTTTTTAAGTAAAAATAGGTGAATGTGTACATGAATACAGAGTTTGTGCAATTCTTTGTCTTGTTATTTTGTCTTTGTGTAGTGGACAATTTTTGTGCCAAACACACAAGCCAAAATAACAAGTCAAAGAATTGCACAAACTCTGTATCCATGTACCACCAAAAATTGCCAATTTTCACCAAGGGGTACCGTAAATATATTTTTACGATTGTGCCTTGCTTAGCGTCTTCTGGAAGAGTTGCAGCACCAGGAGACGAAACACGAGAATGCGCTAAGATGGCAATTTTGAGAAACGTGCCAAGCAGTGGGTGATTCTTCACTATACCATTTCTAATTGCCAGCATATACTCTAACTAATCAGCAAAATTTAAGCAAAAAAAATACTGAGTTTGTGCAATTCTATGATGTTGCTTTAACAATAACAGATCACTGTATATATGAGAAGAATAACAATGCAAAAGCCTGAGCTATATAGAAAAATATCAGAAAATAAATGGCACAAGATGCATTATTGAAATAGACATAAAGCTATAATTAACAAAGCTTTCTCTTCAAAATCAACAATAAGTAACAAGTTTTGATAGCGATGTAGATAATTAGAAAGAAAGCAAGAAAATTATTAAGGGCTCTAGTGTAGAATTGGGTGCCCCTTTGATTAGCAACAACTTTTTTTTTTTTTTTTTTTTTTTTTTTTTTTTTTTTTAATTTTGGCAATGAAACCTCATTTCTGGTTACCATGATAGTTTTAACTTTATTTTAGCTTCTTGATTTTATTTAAATGAAAATAGATTGATGTGTACATGGACAAATTTAAGGCAGTGCACAATGCCTACTTTGTGCAATTCTAGGGTGTTTTTCTAAGTGAAAACAGATCGATGTGTACATGGACAAAGAGTCTGTACAATTCTTTGACTTCTTACTTTGGTTTTGTTTAGCGGTCATCTTAAAATTGTGCCTTCCTGGCGCTGATCTTGGCGTCAAAAAAGAATCGCCAAAAAACAAGGGGCACCTAATTATAAACTTTTACTTTATTAAGAACGATATGTATGAAAAAATTTAAAAAAGACGTCAATAAGAGAATTGTGCACTATAGTATAAAGAACTACTGACAGTATTTTAATTTATTTCCCAGAATTTGACTCAATCTGCTCTTTATATCTGTTCACATAACAGTGTGTAAGCAGAACTGTTACAAATAGTTAATATGAAAATAATATCTTTGAGACTAACTTTTACCTTTTTTCGAAATACAGACATTTAAATCATTTAGAAAAGGAATAACAAATTTGCAAAGTTAAAAATTATTATTTAATTAAATGTAATAAAAGTTTGATTTTCAATTATATACACATCTTTCTATTTATTATTTTAAAGCACATTATTTGATGCTTCAATATAAATTAATTTCATGATCAAAGATGCAATGCAGTACTCTTATAATCACTTTCATTTTCTGTATCTGTTAAATTTCCACATACGTATTATCTTAATGGTAATAGATGGAAAAGAATTCAAATGATAATAAGAACATATTAGAATTGTTTGGAATTAGCTTTACTTACAATTAATTTTAAATTTTTAGTGCAAATCTATTCTTTAATTTAAAAAAAAAAAAATTATCTATAATTTTCAATGAAAATGTTCTATACTTTAAGCATTTTATGTAAAAAGGCAAAAATTTAATAAATAAAAAAAAGTTACTTCAGAACGTTATCTCCTATTTATGTACATCATATTAAGAAAGAAAAAATCAGAACTAGTGCTGAAGTAAAATTGCAATACAATTAGTTCAGGTGCTTTCAGATGATCAAATATACAAATAGGTTTTTGAAGTTTAAAAATACTGCTTTAAAACGGTGGTTGAAAAAATATCTCCATAAATTTAAACATGTACAAAATTATCACTGCAGACATGATGTACAGTTTTAATTTAATTAAGACAGCACTGTAGCCTATTTATTAATAAGATGCGAAGGTCATATTTTTACGTTTAATGTTACCTTAAATTTTATAATTTGAATAAAATATTAAAGGCAAAATTCATTAAATACTAGGTACTTAAAATTAGAATTTGTTTCAGTTAGATTTTATGCATTTTAAATGTTGCTCGCGAAAAACGGCAGTTGCAACATTCTGAAGTTTATAAGCATACAATGCAAAATCTTATTTAAATAACATCACGTACCTTTCTGAATAGCAAAGTAATATCAATCTTCCAAACAATAACAAATATATTAATCACTAATGCATCAGTTCAATGTTCTAACGGTCGCAGAAGAAAAAAAAAATATATCACTTTCGTAGCACTTTAAATCTAGAAACGAGAAATACAAGCCAGCACACGTCTTCTGTGGCACTGAAATGTCGCCATCTGCTGGTAAAAAAAGTATGCCAAGGGTCGATTAGTAAAAATTAATTTTTATTTAAGTGCAAAACATAAATATATTTTTATTATACTTCAAATGAAGCTCTTAATATAGCACACGCTTGCTTAAAATTTTTGATTACATATAATTTTTTAAATAGTTTAACAGCATCATCAGAAACACCTAAATAAAACAAATAGTAAACATTGATATATTTAAAACACTGAATGAATTTTATTCCTAATTTTTTTATTATTATTTCTATAAAAAAGAAAAATGTTTTTCTTCGCAGGTGACTAATAAATAAACAAAACAAAAAATAATGGCGTTTGGCAACATAGAAAACTAAGAGTGAGAAATGGTCGTTTGTGTTTATGGAAAGTAATTGTTGACAGTATGCTGAGAGAACAACAGTTATCTGTAATATTTTCGAGATTTCGGCCACAAACTCTAAATTACTTTAAAGTCATTTACTCAATAAGTAAAATTCGCTTTAAAATGAATCTATTCGTTGTTAGTAATTATAAATTCTTGTATTGTTTAATGTAATTGAACTTGATATTTATATCCTTACTAATAAATATGCATTTTAAGCGATTGAAGAGCATTCATATTTCACCTGATTTATTGTTACTGCGTAATATACCACCCTAAATGTAAGGTAAGATCTAGTGAGTTTATATTCTATTTTGTTTTGAACATGTTGGGAGAATCGTTCAATAGTTAAACAATTTCATAAAGATATGCGCTAGTTAAGTTTTACACAGTTTATAGCTTTGAAAACTTATGACTTATAGCTTTAATAATATTAAACTCTTTTCTAGCATTTCTCATACATTCATAGATTTGCATATATGATTGAGAAATGAGTTAGCTATTTTATGCCTGGGAATCAGAGCATAAAGTTTCTTAACTCGTTTCCCAGTTTTTCTTTTAGGAAGAGTTCTTGAGATGCCCAAGATATTTGATAATGAATGGCTTGTTTCTGAGTTACAAATCATGTAATTCATATAGAGATGGGACTGCAGCTTTTAGAAATGGAAGCATTGCCCAGAAATCACAAATGAATTTGCAATAAATAAAAAAGTACATATATATATATATATCTAAGCTGTTTTAAATAAAAAAAAAAAACGTATCAATTATTTGCTGGTTAGTTTCATAGATGAATAATCTGCAGAGTAAAAAAAATAAATGAACTTTTTATTCTGAACAGAGTAAAAACTCTTTTTTTTTTTTTTTTTTTTTTTTTTTATGTATAATGAGAAACACTTTTTAACTTAAACATGTAGTATCTGTTTCATTCTGCTAGTTTTTAAAATACTTTTTAATAACTTTAGTACTTTTTAAATAACTTTTTAAAAATAGTATAATGTAATGAATAGTAATTATATTAAAGTTTGTTGATAAAATTGTAATTTTTTTATAATTAGCAGATTTCGTTATTAAAACAAGAATTATGCATAAGAAGGCATTGTATTAAATAAAACACATTTTATGTATTTTTGAACTCTAAATTTATTTGCAGTGAATATATAAATTTATCAGTTTTGATTTATTATTTGAAACAATTTCTATTTGCATGATAGATCTCAAAACGTTTTTGTATCAAACATAATGTTGTTGAATTGTTAATTATACAAGTCTGACTCTGTCTTGTTTGACTTTGCCCAGCCTCAAGAAATCGTACTAGACCTTGACAAATTTTATTTCTTTGACATAGGAGATATAAGTTAAAAAAATAAGTAAATTGATAAATGATCTATTGCTGTTTTTAATATTACAAATTTGTTTTTCTTATTATTGAAAGGTAAGAATTATTCTCTTCAAATCTCTTTCTATGAGGATCATAATCTGTCAGAACCTCATCATGGATGATTTCTTGTTCTATATTACATTATGTAGTAAACAATAGCATTTTTTGCATTGAAAATATTGTTAATGACAGTAGTGGATATACTATATATTTATTATGCTGTTCTAGTAATTTGCATGACTACAGAAAATTTTTGTACCTGCCGAAATGGATTGCTTGAAATGGCTTCTATCCAAATTTCTTCCCGTTTGGAACCTTAGAACTTATTCTAGAACCAAGTGAATGAACTCTACAGTGCTATGTGTTGTCATAAATATTTTAACAAGAATAAGTATTTCTTGTAAACATAGCATATAGCACAGAGCTATTATTTCAAACTACATTTTTTTAATTTTTAGATTTATTTTCCATATTCCATTCACTCTTTTCTTTATGAAAAAAACCTGAAATATATATGTGTGATGTTCTTATCTTTTGAAGTTATTCATCTGAATATTTTCCCAGGCTTTGAACAGTGGTATATTAAATTGAAAAACGATAAGGGGAATAGTGGAGGGGGAGGGAAATCCTTGAGGTAGTAAATAATTCTGCAAATATGGTAAGTTGTATTCAGTGCTGGTGTGCAGCAGAATGTTATTCTATGTCAAATTTTTGAGAAAAGGGAGATACTGTTTGAGGTAAGAGCACATTAGGAATTTGATGTTTTCTTTTTTTTGCAGTCATTTGAAGCCATGATTTTGAAGTGAACATCAAAGATTCTAGTAAATTCCATTTGCATTAGTTGAAACACAATTGATCTAGTATTGTCTAGATGAGATCTTTTAGTAGTAAATATGGCCTTCCAGATGAAACAAACTCAGTACTAGTTTCAAATTAGAAGTCATTCTTTTTTTTTTTTTTTTTTTTTTTTTTTCAATTGCAGAGTCAAGGTTGTTTGATCTTTAGATTATGGTAACTTGGCGATTTTTTGGCGACCAACTCTCCTACAGCAACCCTCTATTTTTTTTTTCCCCCCGCCGCCATTTTGTCTTCACGAAGTAAAGACATGTTTATTTTCTTTTTATCTACTGAACACTTCTTCCAACAATCTACTAGCCGAATATATTTCTGCATTTTATAAGTACATTTTAGTTACATTAATTATTTATTTAAAAGTCAAAGAATAATGTTGGAATAGGCAGATATAAGAATAAATTTTAAAAAAAACCTTATAATCCATTGTAAAAAAAAGGAAAGAACCAACCAGCAAGTGAGCACTATGGCTGAAAGTTTCTGGACATCTCTCAACTCCAATTCCATGTGATCATCAATATATCATTGAAATTGTTATGTATTTAGTTATTACAATAATTTAAACAAAGTCAATGAAAGGTATAACCTCCCTTCAATAAGGTCAAGGAAAATTGCTACTTTTTCTAAAATGTTGGGGAAGTTATCGAAAAAAAAGAGAGAGAGAGAGAGAACAAATTACTCCTCTCGAATAAAAAGAAATTCACATTATAAATATTACACAGTATTAATTCTTTAAAGAAAGCAAATGAAAATTAACTCTTTTTTATTTATTTAATTCAATAGAAAATATTTGGCATAATTTTGTCAACTCTTTGCTACTTGTTGATGAGCTGTTCTTCACTTTTTTCTTCAAAAATGTTATTAATCTATTACTCTCTAGAAGCATGTTTCCCTTTCAGGAATAAGCAATGAAATTAAAGATTTTTTTTTAATCCAGTGTTAAGCTCTTCTCTTTTAAATTAAAATACTAAACAGGTAATATTTGCTAAGAATTATTCTAAATTTATTTTGCAAAATAAACAGTTTGATATTTCTTTAAAAAAAAAAAAAAAAAAAAAAAAAAAAAAACCCTTACCAACTTTTTCAGTGACTTAAATGCATATTTACAACTATATGTCTTTGATTTACTTTTTATAATAATAAGTAAGGTAAATTAAATTTAATGTCCTTAATTATTGCATAGTATTTTATAGTAAATTTATAAAATCCATACTTTTCATACTAAATTTATAAATAAATACTATTCATACTAAATTTGATACCTAAATTTACTATATTTGTCCAGAAAAATATTAAGTTGAACCTTGTATTATTGTACTATCTCTCCAATTAAAGCACAATGTACATAAATAGCCATTTGTGATGCTAAGCTTAATTAAGTTCTAGATGTGCCAAAAAATCAGTTTCACATTTAAAATATTTAAGGCAAAAAAATACGAGGGTTGGAAATTTAATAGTGGCAACACAGCTGAAAAAATGCTACGCAACAAAACTAAAGAATATCGCGTAAACTACATACCTACCTTACCTCTCAGCAAAAAGTCTCGTCCTGCCTACGTCGTGCGCATGCGGAGTGACGCGAAGAACGGATCCTTGTATTAGCTCGCTGTCTAAAGTAAGTGTTGTCAGGATGTTTTCAAAACAAGAACAACTATGATGGATAAAAATTGAATGTGCCAGAGGTTGTACAGCACGACGGTGTCATCAAGGGCTTCAAGAGGCTTGCGGGGAATCTGCATTGCCTTACAGAACTGTAGCAAGATGGGTGAAAGCATTCAATGAAGGACGCCAAAACGTGGCAGATATGCTGCGGCCAGGTGGTCCGACTGTCAGCGATGCAGATGTGCAAGCTGTTGCCGCACTAATGGACAGTGATCGTCGCCAAACGATTCGTCAGCTGGCCGGACAAACATGATTAGCGCATACGACTGTGCTGCTTACTCTGAAGGAACGCCTGTCCATGAGAAAAATTGCTTCACGATGGGTTTCACATCAATTGACGGAAATGCAGAAATGGCTACGATACGATGCTGCCCGAACCCACCTGGAGCACTATGGGCGCGAAGGAGATGCTTTTTTATGCCGTATCATTACGCTGGATGAGACTTGGGCCCGATCGTACCAGCCAGAACTGAAACGCCAATCAAACGAATGGTGTCACCACAAAGGTGGAATTTCGTCAGAACCCCAGCAATGTGAAAGTTATGGTGATTCTCGTGTACGACTGTGATGGTGTCATCCTAACGCATACCTTTCCCCCACAGCTGACTGTCACTGCGCAGTATTACTGCTCATTCGTCAGCTGGCCGGACAATCTCCGACCAGCTTTGAGAATAAAACGGCGACACTTTCTGCAGAACGCTCCTCTCATTTTGCATGACAATGCTCGGCCGCATGCAGCGCAAGGTGTGACTGATTTGTTCAAGCGATGGGGCTGGGAAGTGCTTTACCATCCACCATACTCCCCAGATCTAAGCTCTTGTGACTATGACTTAACTCCTAAGATGTAGGAACCACTTCGTGGCACTCGCTTCCAAACTGTTCCTGAGATTTTTGCTGCAGTAGACCGGCCCATTCAAACTATCAACAAAACAGGCGCTGCTACAGATATTCTGCGACTTCCACATCGTTGGAAACGGGTTGTACACAATGCTGGCGACTATATTGAAGGACTGTAAAACATGGTGACATGAATCACTTTTGTATTCCTTGTAAATAAATAGTTGCCACTATTAAAGTTCCAACCCTCATATCTTCAACATCTCTCTGAATTCCAGGACTTATGAAAGGAGCACACTGTTGTTAGTAAAGTTAGTAATTAATACACAAATAAATGTTTTTGGAGTTTTTTAGATAATTATTAAACACCAGTTTGTAAAGAATTAACTCTTTTAACCCTTTGACGCACGGTGGTGGCACCCTGAAACCACCAATTTTTTTTAATTTTTTCTCCTCTTTCCAAAATCTTTGAGTGAAAATCAATTGATTACTGATTTTTACCTCTAAATAACACAAAATGACTGCAGAATCATACATGTTTTAGGTCTTAGTAC